TATATATACAATAGGTAAAATTTTCCAAACAACAGCAACCAACCACAATATTAGGCCTATAATGCAGTATTTGAATCGATGCGAATTCTGAATTATTTTGTTATTCAGGACCAGACACAACAACCATACCAGTACAGCCGAAAACACGCCGAGAAAGTACGACTATTGGTACGTCAACTTAATTAAGTTAAATTAATATTACTAATATAATACCACATCATTTTTCATCAATTATATCATTAATCAGCCACAGTACCATTTCTTTTAATTATATTCAGTATTATTTATATTTTAAAGTAAGGTAAAGCAAATCATCTTTCCTATCATTGACCACATTTATGTACTTGTTTTATACAGAATTAACCACATTACAGCTGACAACCAGCGAAGAACCAACGACTAGCCCTACAGGTGTGTGTGTACAATATATATGTAAACGGCTATCTGAATTTATATTATATGCTCCTATTTGTTTTCAACCGTACCCACTGTGAGTGTTACAGATCCAAATAACCGTCAGATACAGTATCTGACGGTTATTTGGATCTGTTCAAGCATGAAGCCTCTGTGTTCTAATGGTTATGACGCTCACCTAAACAGATCGCAGGTTGGAATCCTAGCTTAGAAATTTTATTACACAAATTATTTATTTATATAAACTATCATGTCCTTTATTCGAACAATGTATTTATTTTCTTTATTATTATTATTATTATTATTATTATTATTATTATTATTATTATTATTATTATTATTATTATTATTATTATTATTGTTATTATTGTTATTATTATTATTGTTATTATTGTTATTATTAATATTATTATTATTATTATTATTATTATTATTATTATTATTATTATTATGCCCTATTGCGATGGTAAGGTTTTTTCCCTCCATATTATTGTAAAGTACGGTAATTGTGTAGTGTCATTACGTTATTTACTGCAGCTCTGATTATTTCTGGTTCAATGTCGATTGTGGCTTTCTCAATTCTTAGTTGTGTAATTGTATTTGATAGATTTTCGATGCTGAGAATTGCGTTGTCAATTATAGAAGCAAATTTAAAAACAATCAGGTGGATTAAGGATGCCTTCTGGGGGTTGGCAGATGTGTTTGATTTTGGTTGAAGTGGTGTTTGAAGTGTTCTGCCAGTCCCTTACATTTTAACGCTCTAGGTCCGGCCTGTATAAGTTTACCATGTTGTTTTGCCTTTCTCCACATTTTTACGACTTCCTTATGTTGTCATGGCTTGCTTTAGTTCTTCACCTTGTTCTTTAGTACTTTGTTTTTAAGTTTTTTAAGTACTACAGTAGCTGCAATTTGTTTATTCAATTGTTTTAGTTTAAATTGATTTGATTTTTTTAGTTTTTATTTCCTTTTCTTATCATCTTTCTTTTCTGAATGAGAGTTTTAAGTTCGGAGTAAATCCTGTCAGACGGGAGGCTAAGCTTCTCCTTTCTACTTAGGCCTATAAGCAGTGTGTGTGTGTGTTTTTTTTTTGTTTTTTTTTTTGCCAGTTTTCAATGTGTGGATGAGATATTCATGATATTTTAGTTGTATCCTTTAGTTGTGAGATATTAGTCTCTTCTATATTTTGTTTGATAGCTGCATTGAATTGTTGACATATTGTTTTAACAATGTTAGATCATGTCTTGGTGAAATTGTTTTATTATTTTAAATATGTATCGCGCTGATTTGTTGGCCGAAATCATCATCATTATCATCATCATCATCATCATCATCATCATCATCATCACCATCATCATTATCATCATCATCATCATCATCATCATCATCATTATTATCATCATTATTATCATCATTATTATCATTATTATTATCATCATTATTATCATTATTATTATCATCATTATTATCATTATTATCATTAGTAGTATTATCATTATTATTATTATCATTATTATTACGGTATTATTAGTATTATTGTTGAAGATGTTATTAAGAATATTATTATTGTTGTTGATGCTGTTGATGATGATGTTGTTGTTATTATTTTAGTAATAATAATATTATTATTTATAAACAGAAGTAGACACAACAGCCCTACCAGAACAGCAAAAAACAACCCAAGAAAAAACGACTATCGGTACGTAGAAAGCAGAAAGAATGCCTGCAGGCCTTAACGATATAATGTTATTTGAGATGTTTAATAAAATGAATTTGAATTTATAAAAGTGAGGCCAATATACTGCTACTTGAGATGTTTACTAACATTAAATTGAATTTTAATACATACAGGCAAACAGCATGTTTCATATCGATTTAGTCCATTCTGCATTATGCCTATACCTCCATAAAACCAATACCAATTATACCAATTTGCATTTACTACAATTATGACCAAAAGTTTAGTTCATCTTAGCTGTACCGTTGTCTGAACCCCTTTCATCTTTCTATAGAATTTATTAGATCAACTTTAGAGTGTCCAACTGGCGAAAACAACATCATCACGACGACGATTCTAATCAATCCCGGCAATACAGACGACAGTAAGTTACAGTATACCTCCAAATTATTTACCTCTCGTTTTAGCATGCTTCATTAACAGAAATATATTAAAAACTAGACCTGTTGTTGCGTATGCTGTAACCAATATGAAACTAACACAAAAAAACAATTTTTTATCAAATAAAATCGTACCAGCCAATGATCTATCAGCCATCAGGGGTAATCGAAATATCCGTTCTATTTCATTATATTTCAATCAATTTGTGTTCCGCAAGTCAAACTTCAATACCGTAAAAGCTCGGATTGAAGATGGGCTTCTTTTCGAGATGGGAGTTTTTTCGAGGTTACTTCTTGCAAAATAAATGCGGTAAATCTTAGGAATTTGTATAATAAACCAATAAATATGGCCACTGTAACATCATTCTGTATCTTAAAGTACCGTATATCAACCGGCATTAAATCACCTAAAACTACTATATAAATCGAGCGTGTTTTTAATTTAATTTTGTTTTTTGAAATTCATGTACAGTGTATGTACTGTACTATACCGAAAAGTAGCCCATGGGTTTCTTTTCAAGATGGGCTTCTTTTGGAGGCTACCGGTACTTTTCCAAACTTAAGAGGGAGTTTCAATTCGAAATGTGCTTCTTCTTGAGATTCAGCCCATTGGGCTTCAATTCGAGGTTTTACGGTATACCGTCTTTTCATTGTTTTTACATTTTATTGGAGCACACATGCATATCTACTGTTCAATATATATACTGTCTCTTATACACATCTAGATGTGTATAAGAGACAGATATATGTATACGGTTTATTATATTATGTTATATTTCATCATTATGTTATTATTTATCACATATCTTGTCTGATTTCCTGAACTAAATAGGCGGGCCTTATACAATTTTTATTTATTTCAATAGAAGCGGATATTTCAGAAGAAATTGCAAATCTAGCAAAGGTATTGGATGCTTTTATTACGGTATATTGCTTATATTACAATATTTCTCCATACAATAATAATCTCAAAAGTATCTATATTAATTGATGATGTTTACATATTATTTCTCCTTATTTCAGTTTTTAACTGACTTCAAATATTGTGTTGTATTATTGAGTACGGCATATTTAGTAAATCAATCAATTATTATTATTATTAATATTATTATTGACAACATCAATGTTGATACTGTTAATTTTTATATTATTAATTATTATTATCATTATCATTCACGTAGAATGTCACTGAAGAAAATGTGGAATACGTTGCAGTTGAGCTGGAAAGAATTACAAATGCAAAGGTTGAATCTGAGGGGTTGATACCTGCTGAAATTAACGAGATTTCCTATGCCCTGGAAAGTATCGCACAAGTTGAATCAACAGACCCAAAAGTTAGTAGACTTACTGTAATATTACTGTCCACATTACAGTATACACATTACAGATTTTTTGGGGAAAATCTTCTTGACTTGAGAGTGTCTCGTCGGTCCCCATTCTTCGTCAGCTTTTGCTTGCAAAGGTGGTCCATGCTCCTGGTGGTTTTAATTTGTATTGTTTGTTATGCTAAGCCACGTTGTAGCAGGATCGGACGCTTTGTGCACAATGGTGGGAGGCCAGTGGGATTCGGTCGAGTCAGAATGACCACTTAGATTTTTGCAATTTAGACATTGATTTTCAGTTTTTAATCTTTTACCTTTTCAGTTTCCAACATTTAGAATTTTCAGCTTATTTGAATGTTTTACCTTTCTAATTTTTATCTTAAATTTTTAAATCCGTCTGTTGATTGTAAAATGTTGTTTATTTTTGTCTTGGTCAGGTCAGGTCACTCTCATAGTCCGAAGACCGTCGGGGCACTTTGATGATAACACCCTCCTCCTCCACTGCACTCGATCCTATGACTCCCTCAAAACCAAACGTCAAACTCTTCCCCGTCCAGTCCTCGATGTCTTTGAGCCATGTGGTCTTTGGACGGCCTCAACCCCTGGTTCCTCTAACCATCCATTGCATTACTGTATGAGTCAAGTCGCATGTTTATATGAGCTATAAATCAAGTGTTTCTTACTTGACTTGTTTTATAGGTTACAGACGCAGTCGTCGATATAGTGGGCATGGTACTCGCCTCTGATTCATCACAATCTGATCTACCGCCATCAACGACAGCTTCAATCCTCGAATCATTCGAACAGCAAATTAGCACCATCGCTACTGATGGCCAGGATTATACTAAGAACGAACATACACTTTCTGTGCGGACTATAAGTTTTGATCCAAATGATGTCCAATCTGATGTTGTATTTTTGGTTAATCAAAACGATAAAATGACTGACGTATGTGTTGATGAGGAATGCCGGCCAATCAATGCCAAACTCGAGTCAATAACCATCCCAAAAGCCATTCTATCCTTCACAATCGGTACCGTTTCATTCTCTAGTAATACTTATCTTATGTTCTAGAAAAAACCTGAGTGCGGTGTTAATGTTATTTCACTTGCATGATTAGACCAGGCCCAGGCCATAAATTTTATCATTCAATTATTTATTTTTGTTATTTCCCAATTGCAATCATTAGCGCTGTTCGTCGCTGTAGAAGCGGTTGGCGCATCGGTTGTGGCTTTGACTCCCAACATCCAGGTTGGTGGGTTCGACTCGAAACTGTCGATGTGCAAACCGGGCGAGGCAGTTATTGTCTAACAATATTAGATTCATAATATAATATATACTTATTAAATATATATGTAAGTATCCGTATTTTTTTTAATAATTTTTAATGTGTTTTTCTTTGTACTTTGTTTAGGTCAAATGACAAGTACAAGCTTCGTATCCTACTATAACCCAGGTCTGTTTCAATCAGCAATGTCGAACTTCAAGATATCTGACGTTGTTTTGTCAGCTACTATACATGATACAAATATCCCGGATGTATTCGATGAAGCTGTCACACTTGTATTTACAACACCAGTGGTAATATTGCTACTTATCTGTGAAATTTCAGTGATTTATTTTTGTTCATGTTTACATTTTTTTCAGTAAGAATATGGTTAATGCATATTAATAGAAGTAGCCTAATAATACATTGTGTATATTCATAAACAAACAACTTTCCATTTTCTGCTTTTTATAGAATATGTCAAAGATGAAAGCTTCGTGCATGTTTTGGAATAAATCCTTAAACGAATTCGGCGATTGGTCCAGTAATGGTTGTAAACTTACAGAAACAGATGAGGACGGCAGTATAACATGTGCATGCACACATCTGACAAATTTTGCCGTCTTATTCGTAAGTGTTCTCACATATTATGAATATTAACACAATTATAATAGATATATATATATAGGCCCTGTCTCTTATACACATCTAGATGTGTATAAGAGACAGATCGGACGCTTTGTGCACAATGGTGGGAGGCCAGTGGGATTCGGTCGAGTCAGAATGACCACTTAGATTTTTGCAATTTAGACATTGATTTTCAGTTTTTAATCTTTTACCTTTTCAGTTTCCAACATTTAGAATTTTCAGCTTATTTTACCTTGGAACATATAATTAATAGGCCTGGGTTATTAAAAGAGTGTAATAATTATCATAAGCTTAATGTCGACATTTCAGGTGGTTATGATTATAAATTTCCTACATTGTGCCACCAAATTATTTGTTTTTTTTCCAGTTTCCAAATGATGTCGCTCCTGGTGTGGAGAGATTTCTTGATCTGGTAACCTACATTGGCTGTGGAATGTCACTAATGTGTCTCACTTTGACAATCGTAACTATTTTGTTCTCCAAGTAAGTTCAATTCCGCCAAAACGGTAAATGTACAAACATTATGAAAACAACAAAAAAGAAAAAGACCTGCGTGCCTAAACGATCTATGCAGCAAGGGTAGAAACGTTACGGTACTCCACTACAATCCTAGAAACCCACATACCACTCCCAGATTAAACTATTTATCTAGGGTAGGGACGTTACTCCACTAAGGTCTTAATGACGCACGTACCCCTCCCAGATTAAACTATTTATCTAGGGTAGGGACGTTAGTCCACTAAGGTTCTAGTAAGCCGTGACACACATCTAAAGTACGGTATGTATCAAGGGTAGGAACGTTACTCCACTAAGATCCTATTGACCCACATACATCTTCCTAATTAAACTATGTACCTAGGGTAGGGACGTTGCTCCATTAAGACTTTATTAAGCCGTGACACCCCTCCCTAATTAAACTATGTATCAAGAGCAGAGAGATTACTCCACTAAGTTCTTAGTGACCAATGCCATAGCCAGGATTTTCAAACAGTGCAGGACAACATCAGGGTGGATCCACTTCACGCGCAAATTGAAATAATGTGGACCCATTTTTAAAAAAGTTGACCCATTTTATGCAACAATATGAAAAATCTGGACCAATTTTCTTAAAAGTTGACCCATTTTATGCAAAATATGAGAAATCTGGACCTATTTTTTAAAAAAAGTGAGCACATTTAAAAAAAAAAATTGGACCCATTTTTTGTGGACAATATACGGTAGAAAAAAATTGTGAGACTGTCCTAAGTGTCCCAATAGCTGTATTCCCCTCCATAATTGAACTATGCATCTAGGTTGGGACGTCAAACCAGGTCCTGTAATCTATGCATCTAAGGGAGGCACGTTACTCCACTAAGATCCAAGTAAGTAAGTGACCCACATACCCCCGCCCTCTGCGACCAAACTATATGCATTATGGGGTAAGACGTTACCCTGCTGAAGTCCCAGTGACCCGCATACCCCGAGAACTAGCGAAAAGCATAGATTACCGTGACCCAGTGTTAATGTGCAAACGTGCCTGTTTAATGGAGTACAAGTATAATGGAGTACAAGTAGCAGGAGAAACTAATTAATAGAAAAGGGAAGAAATGAAAACAGAAATCGAGACGTATGGCAAGGAAGGGGAGATAGACTTGATTGGGTTTCAATAATCACGAGGACGAATTCAGATGGACGTTAGTGCATGTTGTTAGTTTCAATAGATGTATTTACTTTCGCAGAAAACTTCGAACCAGCCAGCCACAGATAATAATGATGAATCTCTGCGTAGCTTTGTTTTGTTTGTACCTGATTTTCATTTTTGGTATCGGGCTAGCTGATCAAGGAACCACTGCGTGTAAAGTAGTGGCGATATTTGTACATTATTTTTTACTATCGTCGATTGCCTGGACCGCAGTGGAGGCGACGAACATGTATTATTTAGTTATAAAAGTATTTGACTCTCCGAAGTCCACATTTATGTGGATTGGTGCAGCCTTGGCTTGGGGTAGGTTTAATTCACATTTTTTAATTTGTTATTAAATGATTAATATTTCATGTTTAATAACACATTTATTATTATTATTATTATTATTATTATTACAAATAGTAATTAA